TCCTCCTGGGCAGAGACTCCTGGTCAGATCCCCAAATGTTGGTGAAGCCAAGCACTAAAAACCCATGTCCTAAAGCACCTTCTGTTTAGGATGCTCCTGAGCACCCCGGGCAGGTCCACCCCAGGAGGGAAAGATTCCTCACAGTGTTTGGTCCCACCTGGATTTCCCTGTCCAGGAGAGCACCCACATCCACAGCCCAACAGCAACATCTCCCTGTGCCTGCTGGGAATTGGCCTCCTGGCACATTAGACAAGCATTACCCAAATCCCAGAGAAACACCATTTCCTTCCATAAACAGCTGGCCTTTCCAGGTCCGGGTGCCACCGTCTGGGTCTCGCAGCAGGGATTTGTTACAATAACAGAGAAGGGAAAGGAAAAGGCAAAAATACCCTCTGGGATGGAAAACTGGAGCTGGAGAGGCTGAAAAGGCTCCAAGGAAAGTCCGTGGCAGCCCTGTGGTTATGGGGAGTCTGTGGGTGCCACCAGTGGGTGAGCTGGAAAGAGGCTTAAAATACAAAAATCAAGAGGGGGAAAAAAAAATCATTTCTGTGCTGCCAGGAGCTGTTGGATGAATCCATTCAGGATAGTAAAGGCTTTCCCAACTGGTGCACCCAGATTTACACCACACCTGAGCCCCTTCCAGCCCAGGGGTGAGCGTGGGCTCCTCTTTTCCTGCCCCGCAGAGGCTGCAGCCCATGCCCAGCTGGGAGCAAAGCCAGAGCTGGTGGCCGCTGTTGTTTCAGCAGCTGCTGGGCTGTGGTGATCCCAGCAGAAGCTGGAAAACCCCAGACTGTCTTGTTAACAGGATCTTTTCCATGTCTGCCTGTTCCAAAGGGTGGTGGAGAAGCAGCCCCAGCCCTGCAGCCAACCAGGTGTGCCCTCCAAAGGGATGCTCCTGTTCCTTTGGCTCCTGGTGTGGGTACAGATGTCTCCTATTTAACAGCGAGGGGAATATCCCAGGGAACAATCTTTGAGCGGCAGCAGGCAGGGATTTCCCACTGCAGGAAAGTTTTTAATCAAGACAGAGAGGGCTTCACCGAGCAGAGCTCCTCCAGTCCAAGGAATAATTAATTCCCCACGTCTGTTGGCTGCGGCTGCGCGGGAGGGGCTGGACGATCCCAGTGGGCTGATCCCCCCCCGAGCCGGTGATCCGTGTCAGATCCGCTCCCAGGATATACAAATTGCTGCTCCTTGGAGCCAGCAGCGTGACCACTGCACCCAGCACGGCCTCTGCCACCTCCTCGTGAGCAGCAAGTGATGCCACACGGCCCCCCAGCGAGGATAATTCCCAGAGCTGGTGCCTCCCGAGGCTTTGAGGGGCTGGTTGGTCCTGCTCGTGGCTGTTCAGCTCCCAAAGGCAGATCTGTGACAGCACTTCCAGGGAGTGAACTCGTTCACGGGGCTCACTCAGCTCTCCAGGGAGCTGCTTTTAACTGGGAATCTGCAAATGGCAGCAGGGGAATGGTTTTAAACTAAAAGAGGAAAGATTTAGATCGGATGTTGGGAAGAACCCTGTGAGGGTGGGGAGGCCCTGGCACAGGTTGCCCAGAGGAGCTGTGGCTGCCCCATCCTTGGGAGTGTTCAAGGCCAGTTTGGACAAAGTTTGGAGCACCTGGGATAGTGAAATCCCCATGGCAGGGGTTGGAATCAGGTGATCTTTAAGGTCCCTTCCAGCCAAAACCATTCTGTGTTTCTATGATTTTCCCTCTTTCTCCAAGAAAACACCCTGCTGACCAAGCCTGGTCAGAGGAGACGTTCCCCAGCTCAGCCAAAACTCCCATTTTCTATAGAAAATAGATTTTTAGCCAATTTTAAATAATAATAATAATAAATAATAAATAAATCCATCCTGGCAGGTAGCCCCTGCTTTTGGACAAACCAGCTCCAACTCCATCCCTGTGGAGAGGCAGCACCGGTGGGTGCAAGGGAGGGGCTGGGTGCCCCTCTCCCACTCCCACACCACTGGTCTGGCATCGGGTGACTCCTGAGCCTCCCTAAAAAGCTTTTCCAGCCCTAGGAAATCTCCTGTTCCTCTGCTGCGGCGAGCAGAGCTCGGGGCCAGGCTCAGCAGAGGGAGCCACAGACTGTGTGTCCCCGGGCAGGCTCTGCCGAGGCTGGACCAGCCCCTCTCCACATCCCTGACCCCGGGCATCACCCCGCCGGAGCCAGAGCCTCTGCAAACTCCCTGCCAGCCATCCCTCCCTCCTCCCACTGCTGCTTCCCTACAAAAACCTTTCCCATCCTCCTCTTTCTGTCTTCCAGCACCAACACCCATTTCCCTCCCAGTTGATCTCCTCATGGAGAAGACTCTGGAGAATCGAGCACAGACCTGAGGTGAAACACCCCTGGAACCCAGGGCTGGCAGCCCAGGGCTGGCACTATTTGGGTCCTCAGAGCCAAGGGCTGTCACCCAAAACCAGAGATCGCAGAATCACAGAATATCCTGAGCTGAAAGGGACCCACAAGGATCATCGAGTCCAACTCCTGGCCCCGCACAGGACAGTTCCAACAATCCCACCATGTGCCTGAGAGCGTTGTCCAAACACTCCTTGAGCTCTGGCAGCCTTGGGGCCATGCCCACCGCCCTGGGGAGCCCGTTCCAATGACTGAATCCTGACATTTTGCCTTTTTCCTACACATCAATCGGCTGGAGCAGCGAGGTCGCTTCCTCCACCCGTTCCCACAGCTCTCCAGCAGGTTCGGTGCACAGCTGCCACTGGCATTCCAGGACAAGGGAGCTGAAGAAATGCCAGCTGGTTGCTGAGAGGATTCCCAGGCACCCACGGCCAGGGCAGGATGGAGCTGAGGCACAAACAGCCCTCCCACAGCACCCGGTTCGGCATTCCCAGCTCACACGTGGGGCTTGGATGGTGGGGCACCCACCCAGGATTTGCTCCCTTGGTGGCATTCGCACATCGCAGGCCAAAGCAGCACCCCTGTGGTTTGCCCTGGCACTTTTTAAATCATCTTCAGGCCCCGGGCAGTTGAGCTGGTCCATTTTAGGGTGGGTTTTTTAACCTTTGCTTTCCTGTTGCAATCTCAGGGCGGAGCAAACAGAGGTAACTGGTGCGGTTCACTCTGCCAAAAATGCCCCCTGCAGAACCACAACAGCATTTAAAAAACACACATAAATTCTTCATGATTGTATTCTCTGGGTATTTCAGCAAAATTTCTTTGAACCCCGTGGTTTGTTTTCTGTCCCTCCCCCAGGCCAAGACTTATTAAAAAGAGCTTTAATTTTTTTTAAAACCCCCTCAACTACTAAATCACGAGTGGAACTTTAAAAACGACTGGAAGGCAAAGCTTTTCCTAGAAGTTATTTCCAGGAGCTGGGCAGGAGGGGCTGAGCCAAGGCTCAAAGGGCAGAGCTGATTGCGCTCTGGACAGGGGGCAGGAACCAGGGGACAGCTGACGAGTTGCTTGAGCTCATTAAGCAACTCGGAGATGCTGGAAGGTTGTGAGGGATGCACGAAGCCTCCAGGATGATCCAAGCCCTTGCCTGCAGCCTCTCAGTCCCTGGAAGGCAGATTTTTGCCTAGAAAGAGCCAGTTTTGGGGGTCCACAGCCGTGGAAAGCTGCCTGAACCAAAACCATCACGGTGGGCAGTGCTGGGATAACGATTTAACTCAATGATCCTAGAGGGCTTTTCCAGCCTTATGGACCAGTCAGCTCCACAGCCCCTGGGCAGGAGATGATGGGAAACACCAAAAAGCAACCACAGTGATAGGAAAAAAATTAATAAAAAGCACAAAGAAACTGCTCCATGTGGGGGATTCTGGAGGAAAATATGTGGATAAGCAATATGTACCACAGGAAGGGAGCAACTGATAGAGCAGGTGGAATCCTGGGAGATGTCATAGGTCAGGAGTGGGAAGATGTCACCTTATTAGCAGGTTCTTTTACAGATTTGGTTCTTCTGTTTCGTTTTGGGTTTGGTTTGGTTTGTTTTTTTCAGCTGTAAACATTTTCAAGCTGAGTGTTTTTTTCACGCCAATGAAAACAGATTTTTTTTTCCCATGATCACAAAACCAGGGAGGCTCCTTCCCAATCCCACACCTAAAAAAAAAAAAAAAAATTAAAAAAATAAGGAGGCAGGGAATAATTTCTTGCAGAAGTTTCCCCACCACAAGCACCAGCTTTAACACACAACCGTGAGAAAGGCAGAAGTAACTCAGCTTCACAACAAAGACAATTCCTGCCAGTGCTCCTGGGGCTTCCCAGGAGGATTGTTTCCAAATAGGACAGACCATTTGGGGGAAAAAAAAAAAAAAAGACAAAAAATAAATAAAAAGAAGACATGAAGGGCTGGAGGGGCTCTAATTAATTATCCCTTCTCCATTCCTGACTGCCACAGTGAGCACATCCACACACAGCCCCTGCATTCCCCCTTCCCCCTGCAGTGCTCCTCAGGAGTCTGGAATCTATACATTTTAGAAATTTTTTTCCCTTAATCTCAGCAATATCTGCATTGTGGGGGGCTGGAGGACAGTAGGAATGTCTTCAGGACAGCCTGCCCACACTGGAGGAGCTGTTGAGCTCCCGCTGGCACAGGCCAAGCTCATCCCTGTGCAAGGTGCACCGTGGGGTGGCCCAAGAGTGACTTCACCTTTGAGATCTCCTGTCACACCTGCTGAGAGGGTTTGTTTGTTCATTTAATTGGAATATGTGGCCAGGAACCGATTGTTTCCTCAGTCCAGGGTGGTGAGATACACAGGATGGCTCAAGAAACGCACGAGAGGACTATAAACCCACAGGTGCCCAAAATAAAACTGCCACCCACCTCCCCCATCCCAGTGTATTTGCTGTTGATTCCTGTGGCTCCAGGGAACAGGAAGAAGGTGACAACGAATTTTGTGGGTTTTCTTGACGCCCCACCTGGGTAGAACAAATCACCTGCCCCAGAGCAACCGGAGGAACAATCTCCACCTGAGCAGAGGGAGCTCGTGCCACTTTCCCTCCACGATGCCCTCACACCTCCAAGACCCCAAGGATGCTCCCACTCCAAAGGATAACACTGTGCTTTAATGGTTCAGAGACAATGGACTGGTGTGCAGTACAAGTGGTCTGTGTGTCCTATACATATTTACACACCGGGGGGGTGGTTAAAGCTCCTGTATTTGAACGGCACCAACATCCCCAAAAATACCCAGTCTTACAACAGCAAAAATGTGAACAAAATCCAAGGCCACGAGCAGAGAGAGGTAAGTTTTAAGGGCTACGGGTCACATGGAAATAAAAAAACAGCAGTGGTGCAACGTGAACTTTATCCTGAATAGAGATAAGTGGTTAAAACGCAACTTTTTCGGTACCTCAGGAGCAAGAGGGTTTTACAGAGACCTCATTTCCAAACTAAGGCAGGGAAAGAGAAACAAATGTACTGGTGTGCGCCCTTTGGTCCTCGAAGTCTCCTTCCAGTTGAGCTAAAAAGAGAGTTTTACTCCGAACCTCAGGCAAGAAGGACTTAAGGCTTTTCAGCTGGATATTTGGAACAATAGTGAACTGAAAAGTGGCAATTTCGGGAAAACAAATGCCACAGAGTGGGTGTGTTCTGTCAAAGTGCAGCAGAGCTTGTTTATACCAGCAGACAAACACTGTTACAGCACCTAATCCTCCAGAATCCAGGACAGAGGATGTTACAAAAGATTTTTCCTCCACATGACCAGTGAAGGTCATCAAGGTAAAAATTACTGTAATTAAAACACGTGAGCTCGTTCTCCTTGAAAAAGTTCTTTAGGGTCCAAGTGACCAGACACAATTTTCATTTTGTTTCCAGCGTTGGGGTTGGAGCAAGGGAGAGGGAGGAATGTTGGTAAGACGGGAGTTTGCCGGACAGGGGAACCGCCTTTTTGGGTTTGTGTACGGGACATCTTGGATCAATATTCAGCCAAGCAGAGCTGTGGGAACCTGTGGGCATTTGTTTTGCAAGCTTTGCCTCCCTTTGCTCGGGGTGAGAAGGGTGGTTTTCATTTGCTGCTCATCTTTTCCCAATTTACGAGTTACAAAACACCCATTAAAGCGGTAACAAAGCAGAAGTTCAGCCCAGTCCAGCTGACTGAAAACTGGGTTTTTTTGGACCACATCACAGAGGTTGCCCCATCCGCGGAGAAAATGCGGTTTGATGGATTCTGACGGCCCTGGGAATGCTTCTCTCTCAGCTGCTCTTACGAAAACGAAATGAGTTGTCATTCCAGGTTCCTCTGCCCTGGAATGACCCGACCTGGCAGCAGGCAGGGGAGGTACCGGGTGCTGTGCACAGGATTTTTGTGCTCACCTTTTGGTCCCATGTTTATGGGATACAAGTCCTGAAAAGCTCAAAATCTTCCTTTTCAGGTTAATCAGACTAGTTTTGGCTTCTCAGCCTAACCCACAGAAATCCAAGAAGGAAAGCTCAAGTTAAGAGTATCATTAAAAACCTCTTTGGATACCTTAGCACTTTGCAAACAGACTCTGTAAGGGTTTTTTTTCCTCTCCTCTGTTAAAGTTTCCTTAAAAACAGTAGGAAGCTGACAGTTCAAGTGGTCACACATTGTGAGGCACAGAGGAAAAGGTGCATGAACCTCCTTTGTACTGATACAAGACTGTGCCCCAAATAATCCAGAAGTTAATTCCCTGCATGTTCAGAGGACAGGAAAAACGGGGTTTAAATTTCTCAAACAAACAAAATACACAAAAAAGGAAGGTTAATACTATCAAGAATATAAAACATACCAGAGGTAACATCTCAGAGGTATAACACACATACCCAGGTACTGAAACAGCCCCTGCAGGGCTTGCAATAAAACAGAGATAATTCATGACAATCCTGATCCTACAAGGATCCAGAGCCTTCCAGTTGTTTCCTGTGCTGCTCCACATTTATTCCAACAAACACAACTATTTCATAAATATCCATTTCACCACCAAGCCCCACTTCTCTCCTGGCAGTGGGACGTTCTGCACTATGGATGGAAATGCGTTTCCAAACCCATTATTTGTAGCTTGTAATTCCATGGCACCACTGGAAATCCAGGAGGACTGCCCTTCATCAACACCTTTCCCGTTTGCCACCGGGAGTCTCTCACTGCACAAAGACTACGACAACAATTCACAACGATTTAGTTTAGGAGGTCGGACGTGGGGACAAGAACAGACAGTGACACGGGACAGAGCAATCCAGAGCGCGTTCAGAGAGCGGCACAGTTTCAGCTCCTGATGAGCGTCAAGAATTCTTCACGGGTCTTTGGATCTTCCCGGAATACCCCCAGCATCGTGCTGGTTACTGTTTTACTGTTCATTTTCTGTACCCCACGCATGACCATACACATGTGCCTAGGAGAGATGAGAGGGCAGTCAGTACAGCAGGAATGCTCACGGGAAAGGAGTAATCCCACGGAGGGAGATGTTTCTTACACGGTCACACTCAGCCCTGGGGAGGTAACAAAACCTCCACATCCAGAACGGGCATCTGCCTGTAGCACCTCAGCTGTGGGAAAGAGCCATTCCCAGCCTCTGAGCACTGCCTGCTCTCCTCTGATCCCAGGAAAATCCCACCTTCCCGAGGTACATTCTGATCACAGGGACATGCCTGCTGCTGCAAGTCCCAGACTCTGCTCTGCTTGAGGGTGTAGAAGGTGCCCTGAGGAGGAGCACAGAGCCAGTGCAACCACCACAGCTCCACACTGCCAGCTGCCACATCCCTGCACAGGATCCCACTTCAGACGGCTCCCAAACCAGGGATCACACACAGCTGGGATCACACACAGCTGGGATCACACACAACCAGGGAGCAGCTCGGAGTCACTCACGTGGCCTCCACGACCACGCCGACCCCCGCGGGCTGTAAGGCTTCTGTGATGGCGATTGCAATTTGCTTGGTAAGGCGTTCCTGGACTGAAAAACAAACAAACAACAACAAACAACAACAAAAACCATTACAGGGAGCTCAGAATCATAAAAAATCCCAGAATAATTCGGGTTGGAAGGGACCTCAGAGTCCATCTCATTCCAACCCCAGTGCCAGGGGCAGGGACTCCTCCCACCAGACCAGGCTGCTCCAAGCCCTGTCCGTCCTATTTACATTTTGCATCCTGAAACAGGTCCTTGTATTTGCTTGTTTATATTGGGGGGTCACTTTGCACTCCACCTTTGCAGGAACTGCATAACCACGACTCGTCATAACAGCCCTCCCATTTCCTATTATGCACTTAGATTTTCTTGCCTCTCTGTTTTCTCTCAGTTTTCACGTGTTTGTTCACCCAGCTTCACCGCTGCATGATTTGTTCCACGCACACAATTTTTCTTTTTAAGGAAAGGAAATGGAAATTAAAAAAAGGAGCGAGCCAAGAGTCTTTTGTCCTGCAAACCTTCACTTCCTGAAGCTCTAGAACTGTCTGTTCACCAGTCTGATGGCCACTAAGTCTTCTGTAGCCAAGAGCAGGCCAAATTTAACCTCGGGACAATGGGAGCAGGCTGAGCCCAACCCAAGGCTTCGGATCCTGCAGCTTCCTCCCCGTCTCTGGGGCAGCAAGCAGGAACATGGAAGCTCTTGCTTCCTTGCCCTGGACAAGAATTCTCCAAGGAATCTCTCCAAATCTCGGTAGGAGAATTCATCCCCGGCAGCATCCAACTGGTTCAGTTATTCCTGGCAGCTCTACCTTGAAGCACATTTATCCTTGGAATCAGTTGCTGCCTCCATCTACTGCCACAGATGTTACCCCTCACTGGAAATGCAGGGGGTAAATATGATGACAAGTGAGAAACAAGTGTATTGTTCTCCACACAGACAACTGGACCCCACACAGCCCACCTACAATTCCCAGTCCCCTGCACCGGTTGGGAGAGGAGTGCACACAACAAACCCCAAATTTCACGTTTACCTTGTAATCTTCTACTGTATATTTCCACGATCCTGCAGGAGAAAGGGAAAACACAGTGTTACAGTTATCCCCACCTGACCGCTGATCCCCACAATCAATGCTATCAGCGCACTGCTCCGTGTCCCTCCTGGAAATCCATTCCTCAAGGACTTCCCTTGGCACACCCCTGTGTTTAGAGACAGGTTCCCCTCAACCTGCAGCCCCCAAGGACTATATTTTGGGGGCAAACCTGTCGCTTCTCCTTTGAGCTCCGTGTGTTGGCTGATGCTTTGGAACTCCTTGTCCCACCCCCACCCCCGTGTCGCAAGGAAATCCACGCCCAAAGATTCCCTGCTCAAACTGGGGTCAGAACACCTTCCTAGTGCTTCAATCTAAACCAAATGCTGCCTGAAGCACAGTTCAGATACTGGGATTCCCAGGAGGCTGCTGAAATTAGGCAAGAAGCGGTTTGGATTCTTGCACTCAACCACAAGTATAACTAAGAACAATGAGGCAGAATCGGTTTTACTCAAAACAGACACTCTCCACCCATATTTCACCCCATCCTTCACATTTCAGTGCTGGGATCACCTTAATGCCCCCCTCCAACACGACTTCAGGTTGAGCCATTTGGTGGGCAACACAAGGGACGCCACCATCGCTTCCTGATGCTCCACTGGAACCCACACGGGGAAGAAAATTCACACAACCGCTCTTGTAACTCCAGGGGCTGTTCATGCCAACCTCAAATGCTTAATTACACGTGGAGTGGCCACCTAAAGGAGTTGCTATGGCAAGCTTTGACACCCTGTCTGGTCAGAGCAGACACAAACCAGACACTGGCTGCCAGCCCGAGGCACTGCTTACAAGAAACATCTCTGACAATGAGACTCTCCTGCTGTTTTGGAGAGAGAATTAAATGCAGAAACTCCCCCTCCAGCAATGAAGTGGTTGTGTTATAGCAATTCTAAACAAAGCAGCATGATATTTAGATGAAATATATGGATAGGAAGCATGCTGATGGTCAGATATCCTTACACTGGTGTTGTTGCACAGAAGTCCTAACAGCATGTTTTTGTAAAAACAGGCATTTGCAAGAGCATTTTCAAGCCTGAGCCTAAAATCCAGAGAAAGATGTTTGTTTACTGAATGCAGGTCATCCACAACTACAGAAACTCACCACATTAGACTAATCCTATTAGGAAAGATTAGGCCTAGAGCACCAACAGCCTCACAAATCTTTGCTTAAATACTGGTTGCATTATTTAGGGCACGAAAGGGAGGCATGATTTGGCCCACCGAGCTCTTCGTGGTAAGCTCTGTGGAGCGAGGACTGAGAACACCTTTGTTACACAAGAAACTGATCTTTTTGTTCATGCAGCATTTGAGAGTTCTACCCCACCTTGAAAACGAGGCAGGATTTGACCTTTCAAGCAGAAGTGCAGGTTTGCACCTATTAATGCAGGTTTGCACATATTAATGCAGGTTTGCACCTATTAATGCGGGTTTCGACACCGAGAACAAATAGTAGCAAAATTGCACACTTCTAGCACCATGTTGCCCCTTGGATTGGAAAAGAAAATCATAGAATCATAGAATCATAGAATAGATTGGGTTGGAAAAGACCTCCAAGATCATCAAGTCCAACCCCTGATCCAACTCTAATTACTAAAAGCTGTTTTGAGCTCCTTTTTGCATCTGCAGTTCAAGGGTAAGTGGAGACCAGAGCAAGCCCAAACCAACAGATCCACATTTCGAATGCGATCCTTAATCCTGTGTTCCAGCCCTGCAGAAATGAAGCCACGTGCTAAGGACAGTCTCCTTCAGGAAGGATGAGTCCTGCAGAAATCCAACTCCAAAAAGAAAAAAACCACAAAAATCAACCACCTCACCCTGCACCACTTGAAGATGCAGCCAACACACACGACACCAGCCACGGACTGCCACACAGACACATCCCCAGGGGTGAGGGGCTACAGAAGGCAAAGCTTTCTGCCCACCAGCTGCAGTGCTGACAGCTCAGAGCCTCAGCCCACAGCTCCAGCAGTTCTGTACAGCCACAGAACAAAAAAACTGCCATACTGGACAGCCTATTTCAGCCTTTCAGCCAAAGTCCACTCCTACAAAAGCGCTGCTGAAGGTACGAGGATGCATCCCGGTAATGTGAGGTCACGAGAGCAAAGCTGTGACCCCCAAGGGCCCTTCCACTCCCAAACCCAACTCAGTGCTGTGCAAGCAGAGCACAGAGCAGGGCTGGCTCACCTCAGAGCATTGTACTGTCATATCCTCCACATTTCTTACCCGCTAAGAAAACCCAGTAGGCAGTGCAGATTTACAGGGCTAATTCTCATTAGTGTTGTTGGAGCTACAGCAGGATTAACAGACCTATCAGGGAAAGCATGAGCAAAACCTATGTGGTCTTTCTGAACTACAGCCAAATTTTCAGACTTGTTTCCCCAGAGACCCTTCCACTCTGGTCCTCAATAATCTGCTTATTGGAGGGATCCACCGTCCTCTTCTCTTCAGAACTAGAAAAAGGTGTCACTTTATAACAAGATTCAGTTACAACAACTAATCCAAGGGCACTGCTGAGGGGAAAAAAAAAAGCTATTTTACATAACAAATGGATTTCTCAAGTGTATCAGAGTTGTTTTGTTTCTCAGGCTCAGCCTTATCTATAAAAATCCACCCCACTGCGCTCAGCAGGTCTGGACCGAAAGAAAGAAATGCCAAATTTGTCTGAAGAGTCAGCTAAGAGATGAGAGCTTTAGATTCGCTTTATGTCCATAAAGTGTGCTCATTTACAGTTTGGAACTTGTGGATTTTTGTTCTTATCTGTCAGTTTTCACACAAGCAGTAAATAGCTGGAGATCCCCCCTGGTTTTTGTGGCCTGCCTTAGAACAGGGCCAGATTCTCTTGTCCTTTGCCTCAGTGCTCCCTGCAGGTACCAGTGCTTTGTCCTGGCACAGTCACTGCTGTGAACTAACACACAGCTCCAGGACTTGTCTGTCCTCTCCACAAGAAAACAAGAAAACAATGCTGAGGATTGGTCTAAATCCAAATCCAGGACACAGAGTGGGCTGAGCTTTACAAGGGAGACCAGATTAAGAAGATTAGCACACTTAGCACAGCCTGGAATCCTTTTTACAAATTAGCACCACTTTCATTACAGGGACACTTACCTGGCAAGTTTGCTGAGGCCAAGCACTTGTTTGTTAGGGAGATAGCCAATGTGCACCTGGGCAGAGGAGAACAACCATTAACAGCAGCAAAACCAAACTCCAAATGATATGAAACTCATGCACAGGCAATGAGATGTGCATCTGCCCCAGAACTACCCCTGGAGCAGCCCAGGAGTCTTGGCATGTGGGAGGAACGTGCCACCATGCAGGCCTGGAAAACTGTGGGGTTACCAGAGACTAAATGCCTGGTGAGGTCCTGGGGAAGAACAGGTGAGTTTTCCCAGAGGAGGGGGAGAAAAATCCCAGCTCTTCAAGAATCAAGGCTCATGTTCCAAGTCTCGGGAATGCCACAGAGCACTGCTACGTTTTGGAGGGCAAAAGGCAGTCAGTCTATTGCTCAGCACAGCACCATCCACCCAAAATAAACTTCTACTTTTCTTTCAAGACCCAAAATGGATTCAGGGAGAGGAAGGAAGAGGGGCTGTGCTTTACTTCCAGTGAGAGTTCTGGTGGCAAGGTGTATTTTGCCACCAAAGTCAGGCTGCACTTATTGATTCAGGTTTTTTTCCTGTTTTAGCAATACCACAGATCACTGATGATTACCTCAACCTCCATCCTGCTCAAACATGGATTGGCTGGACATTCCTACTGCAACAGATAGTTGCACTACACTGGAATAAGTTTAGCAGAGAAGTGCTCAGATATGAGGGTGGGGGAAAGGATTAAGCTCCTTGTTTATGGAAAGCCACACAGGCTACTGAACTCCAGTGGGTGTGCAGTTAGGTTATAAACCAGCATTTGTGCCACTGTATTAGAGACTTGAAAGCTCAGCCAAGATACAGCAGGGGAGTGTGAGTGAGGGATCCTGTCCTAGCACTGTGCCTGGAGGCTCCACCTCAGAACCCTGTACCTGTACCACAGTGCACCTGATTACCTGGCTAACTTGCTCATTCCTATCACTTCTGTCGGGGTAAATCAACCCACTGACACCTGAAAAGACATGAAACATTTCAGACAAAGCCAGAGACATGACTTAGAAGCAAGCATTGACCCTGTTCTCCTCTTTTTTTTTTTTTTTTTTTAAAGTTCTTAATTTCCCTTAAGGTAGAACTGCAAACACACAAGACCTGCTGGTCAGTGTTTGCAGCCTCTCTGATGTACCCAACAGGGGAATGGTTGGTCTGAGAATATTTAGAGGCATTGCCAAGTCATTTAGCAGGGCCCATTGGGGTGTTTGGGAGGAGATTTCTCCAAACCACACAGGCTAAACAGCTGGGTGTAAAAACAATGCACACATTGCCACGGGAGTAACAGAGAATAGACACAGTAGGTGTAACCAAGAATACACAGGCACAACAGAAGGCTTGCACTGAAAAAAAAGTTACCCTGTTTGCCGGTGTAAAATACTGACAGTAACAAAAGCAAGCAGATTAAACTCAGCTGACTCCACTGGAATGGCTGGTTTCTGTTTGGGTGTCCTGTTTTTGGGAGACAGTTTGCTTGGAACTTATGGATTTTACAGGCAACACAAGCACTTGGTGTTCCTGGGCCTGTGAGAACTCAATGGCAACAGAGGGATCAGACCGAGCTCGACCCTCCTGTGATGATAAGGGAGTGAAGGGGCTCAGATGTGCAGCAGGGACTGCCCACCCAGAACTCTTCGTCACATTTACAGAGGTTAAACTGGAGACCCTTCATTTTCCTCTTCCAAGTTGTCAGCACCACAATTCTGGAACACCTCTGGAACACCGGCCCCTTCCACGGGAGTCCCAAATTAAGCGGCCTCCTGCCAGTCAGCTTTGGCCACCCTCTCCCCCCAGCTTGGCTCATGTAATTAAGACAGGGCTGCTAATGAGTTTGTTCCACTCACAGAGGGTTTCAATGTGTACCAAGATAGCTCTGAGCCAGGAGCTAAATCCGTGACAGAGCCAGTGTGCAGGGTGAGCTGCTTTAATATCAAGATGTCTGCCCTCAAGGCTCGCTGCTGCTTCACGGAGAAGAGCTTTGATATGAAATGTCAGAAACCATTAGATTACTTAGAGCAGGAAAGGTTGAAGAGTTACATTTCAGGAGCTTAAATTCAAATAAAACTCATATTAAAGGAGGGGAGGTCCTCCTTATTTGTATTCTGAAGATTAACTTCTAGAACCGTAGCCTTAAGCAGTAAAGACTTAGGGCCTTAAAAGCTTTGTAGTTGCATCTACCAAGCCTTTCACGTGCACTTTAGGTCTTTTGCTGTGCATTGCCACGTTTGTTCTGTGAGGAGGAGTTACCTTTCCAATAAACGGAACGAGGTGATGCTCACACAGCGAGAACATGTCTATGTCCTTCACAATGACCATCTCGTCGTGGTCTTCGTCGAAGATGGCGTCATTCAGAACATCTGAAAACAAACATTGGCATTAAAAAAAAAGTGTACAAGCAAGGTGGGGTTCCCGAGAAAGCTTGTGGCAAGGGAGGGCTCTCTCTCAGGGCTACAGACTTTTAGGGTTCAGATAGGGGAGGGAAATCAGGAGTAACGTCACAAGTACGCGTTGGTTTGCGCATGACCACACGCATCAGACTCCCTGCACGCTGCACCAGAAGTCAGCATGGTGGGTCTCATTTAAGTAATAGCTTGAGCTCAGGCTAAAACAAGTCTAGTCTTTGCAGAGTTACTGACAGCTTAAGAACAATTAAGACCAGAGCTGATGAAGCCGGTGCTGAGGACGAGAGCGCATCCCAAAGTGGGGTTCCAGTTGTGCGCCCGCCAGCAAAGCTGAGCCTGAGGTGGGAGAAAAGCTGAGCCATCACTGTGGTTGCTTCAAACACTTCAACACCAGCGTCACTGTCTTCAAGGAGGCTTTGCATGCAAATAAAATACTCTTATTTCATCCTGAAGCACATCAGGCAGCAGCTGTTTAGGCACACGCAGGTCAGACACAGATCTGTACCCACAGGCCGGGGAGACATTTGCTGTCCTGAGCTCAAAGCAGGCAGGCACATGCACAATCCAGCCCAATTCTGCACCTCAGAGTGAACAGAAAACTGAGGTGGAGAAACCCAAAAATACAGGAGTAAGAAGAGACAGCTCAGCAAGAAAAGGAACATATAATGTGACACTTCAATAGTCTCAGAGCTCAGCAGAACAGATCCTCGGTTGATTTTCCACATTTAGCAGTCCCCAAGCAACCCTGACACAGGTTACAGCCCATCACCACAGTCTCCAAAAAGCCTGCAGGTACCTCGACCGTGCTCAGAGAGGTTAAAAGCAGAACGGTGTCAAGTGAAGAGACCAAGTCTTTTGAAGCACAAGAGGGAAAAGCTGCACAGGAGAGGGAGAGGAGGGAGAAAACTGCATGAAGAAAACGAGCTGCACAGATGGGCTGATAAGGACTGTGCAAACCAGTGAGCTTGAAGCCACACTGACTCCTTGGAGTTACTTCCACAGGAAGCCACGGCCAGAAGGGGAACCAGGGCGCTCAGGGACTGCCCTCATTCGTGTGCAGTGGAGTTGAACACCTGCAGCGGCGATTACACAAATCTAATGGTTGTGTCTGCTCCGCTCGCCTCGATGCCTCCCCCCGACACACACACACACCTAATGGCCACCATCTGCCGTCGATAAGGCATCATCACCGCCGAGCATTTTAATTTCCTGCCTCGCTATCAGCACCAAACAGGTAACCCTGGAAACTGCGCGCAGGACGTGCCGCCCGCGACGCGCGCTCTTTCCCGGGAAGGGCTGGCAACCCGCAAGGCTGAGCCCCAGAAGGCTTTGGATCTGGTCAGGGAGCAGGGGTAGAGGGCATGAAAGAGGCCAGGAAGGAACTCTGCAAAGGCATGTGGCTTTGTTCCTCCAATTTCAGGGTCTAGTTTACACCAAACACCACTGGAGAGGATTCTGGTTCCATGGGGAGCAGTTGTGTGTGTATTCAGACAGGAATAGTGAGAATACAAAACAGAGCAGGCTCAGAGGAGAGGGGAGACAGAGCAGCATCTGGGTTGTCAGCTCCCTCCTGCAGCACTCTGCAGATGTGCCATTTCTACGGCAGAAAGGCAAACAGTGGCTTCACAAAAGCTGCTCCTGCGCCCAGCGTTATTAAAACAAAATCCAAACAGATCCACGGAGCATCTCCAGAGTGACTGCTGCTGTTATTAGACCACCAGCTCAGCTCACACCGGCCTGGCCAGGAGCATATCAGAGCCTGATGCCAGATATGGATTTACGTCAGCTAAGCGGATTGTTCGGAACAACCAGAAATTCTCATCAAGGGCCGTGGTAACGAGTGGCACAGCACAAGGCCCAACCTGCAGCAGAAGGCACTTCAGCCATGAAGTCTCACGTATATGCACACACACATTTATTAATGTATAAAATATATATAAATAGATCCTTACAGACTTTCCCCAAAGAGCCTGACTCTGGTCCTGGAAAGCTGCATCATGGAGACAGCTCCTAGCCCTGCTTTACAGTTCAGCCAGAGAGAAGTTTAAGTGACCTGAGAAGTACACGTGGATAACTTTGGGAACAAAATGCATCCTTCTAACAGCTAAAACAATCGAGCAGGAGCACAGAGGCCATCCAGCCTTCTTGCACATCCCCTCTTAAACTACAGCCCAGCGTCACAGCAGCGAGGGCAGTGCCCCCTCACAGCCAGGGGAGTTTTAGAGGTGTCTGAGAAAACTGATCAGTGCGCCAAGAACGTAACCACAGAGCTGTGAGAGGTTCCTTGCTTCTCGTTTACAGCACTCTTGCCATTTTTGCACCTCAGGTTTATGTGATGTCAGCAGCGAGCTGCAGCCAGGTCACAGAGGATCCCTGCCCAGCTGCCCCACCTCTGCAGCTGTGCCCGCAGCGAGGTATACTGATTTTGTCAGCACCAGTTGCTCCTGGTTGCTCCAGGGCAAGGAAGAACACAGCTCAGTGTTAGCCCCTCCAGTAACCCCTCCACAGCTGCCAGGTGAGCAGGGAGACAAAGGTAAAACAAAAGGTGACACTCAAAGCCACCACCCGAGTAAAGGGCCATGGCATCAAGAGCCCCAGTCACCCCATCCTGCTCCAGCCTCTCCTGCTCAAACTTCACAGGCCTCTCCAGAAAATAAGCAGAGCTTGGAGCCTGCCTATCCCCATCCCTCTCCCTTCGGAATCCCAGCCCTGTGTTGACAAAAGAGGAGTTAACACAGCATCTTGTCACAGTTGTTTCTACCCGTGTGCCACTGCAGCAGTTGTTTGCAGTCATTACACAGGAGAGACTTCTCTGGCAGAGACTCAAACACCTCGTGCAGGGAGACAATACTGTTTTAGGTAACTTTGTCTGCCTTTTATTAATTTTTTTAAGTCATTCCTTTCGCAACATCATCAAACAGGCCCCTGACAAGCTGCAGCATATGCTCTGGGGAGTTTAACAGAGCTGAGAGGGCACAAGGGGAAACAGATTAAGCCAGCCAGAAGCAAAGCTGGTGACAAACTCATGCCCCCTTTCCCATTCTTTCATTCTACCCTGCTTCACCAGCTTGATTTCACATTTTGGGCAGCCAGGACGCTCCCTAGATTATTCCAGCTGATTTTGCCTTCATCTCCAAAGTTCATTTCCTGATATAGAAACTTCGGTGGGTTCTTCAAACTGAACAGTCACCTGTGCTGCAAGTTAACTCCTGAAACAGAGCAGAATTAATTTTTTGCCCTTTATCTTCACAGGAAAGAGTTGATAAAAGGAAAAAAAATCAGAATTGGATGAAGACAGAATGAGAAAGACCTTTCAGGATTTTGCGTCAGAGCTAAGCAAAGACACCTGTTGCTATAGAAACTATTTGCATGGCTTTAATGTGACACAGGCAAGCAAAAGCACCTCTGGCAACCAAAGAGGCCAGAGCCCACCCAGAACACAGCTCAGGAGGTGAAGGGGATGAAGGATGGCAGCACTGCAGCAGCTTCACAGCACTTCAGATCTCTCCTCGTTGCCGTGCCTGGGAGTCAGAAGAGTGAAGTGCTGCAGGTTGCTCTCACTAGGAGTTAAAGCACTTCCCCGTGGTGTTAAGTTGCCTCACTTCTCCACTTTAGAGAGGAGTCAAACTGTGGATTGTTCAGTGCCAGCAGGGTGGAGGCAGGCTCAGAAATTCCCTGACATTGTTCCTTGAGCTCATCCATCCTGGCAGAGAAACAAGGCATGAGGTTCTCCTGACACCCAATGCCCAGGCTGTCTTCACTGTCCTCTGCTCTCCATGGTGACCCTCAAGGAGTTCCTCTGCAGCTGAAAACAGATGGAATTGTTGGCAGGAGACACGGGATAACAGCTGAATGTGTGGCAGGGAAACCACCAGGCTACAGGGTCGGGATTAAATCTGGAAGGAAATCACTGTAAAAACCTTTCAGCTACTGCTGGGTAAGCAGTAAGATGTAGAGTCAAAACTAATTATCTTTTATTTATTCGTGTGATGACACTACAGGTAACTGCAGTTAGGGAAAGTATTCCCGAGAAGAAAGCAGAAAATTATTGCAGCCTTTGGATACGCATAGAGAGAAAAGGATCAGGTTTACAAAAACATTAATATAAAGTGTTTGTACTGCTGCAGAAAGTTAATGATTTCAGATTGCTGAGAAAAGGAGTGGTCTGGGTATGTCATTTGCTTCAAGAAGACTCGAAGAGCTCCAGAAAGAAGCACAGCCTAAAATGCCACACGACTATTTAAATAGACAATAGAGTTCAAAAGCTGCAGAGAAAATTAGATGAGCGATGTGTGGCTTCCTTGCCACAACACACCTTCCCAACCAGAACCAAGAGAAACCTCAGACACAAAAGAATTTACAACTTTATGCCCCTACTATTTCGGATTTCACCACCAAAGGACTACAAACAGACATTGAACTCCAGACAGGAACATTTAAATGCTTCGGAAGCAAAGCTCAATCCCTCAGTTACCAGAAGGGAGGTGAAGCAGATGCGTGATTTAAGGGACATTTCATGGAAGCAAAGATAAGAGGAAAAGCATTACTGATATCCAGCTAATTCTGGCCATGACTTATACAGATTTGTTTATTTTCCTGCAAGACACTTCCCGTGTGGCAGGGAGAGACTCGAGTCTATTCATAAAGGCATCAGCTACTGCAGACAGATGAAGCTAAGATTAGGTTCTAGAAGTTGCCCTCTGACGGAGGGTTTATTAATGTTTATTAATGTGAGGGACAGCAGCGTTATGGGGATGCTCATTAAAATGTATCAGGATTCCAATAACCACTTCTGTGTCTCGTGTCACAGAAGGGGCTCATCCACACTTCTTTCTGAAACGGGAAGGAAAAAATCCGAGAAGGTGAAACAACACTTTGGAAGGGCAACATGAAATCTCAGAGGGCTGTAACAGTTCAGATCCTGGAGGTTACAACGTTTAATAAATTCCCAACAA